AAAAAAAAAAAAAAGAAGCAAAGGCAAATATAAACCTGGATTTGCTGACTCTAAATTCCTTTTTATACCTACCTTAGTGTTAGAATAGAAATATACTGAAGAAACTTTCCTTATCTATTAATTTAACACCTTATTTTAAGGAGTATTATAAAAACTGTACTTTAAAACATGTCTTAAAAGGATACTGCTTTGAACATTGAACTGCAATTAATTATTTTAAAACACTGTTACCACTAGCAAATATGACAGTGACCATAATTTTGTCATTATTAAAACAATGTTCATTGGTTTTCTCTACTTATGAAAAGATCCCAATGGCAGGGGTTCAAAACATGCCACTCCAAACTACACATTTTGGCATAGGATTATTTTGAGCTGATTATCTTGGCAAATAGGAAACACAGGAGATTACAGAGACATTATCCTTTTATGAGAGAAATTTTCATGTATAACAGAAATCTCCATTTTTAAGGGTGTCTCCACTCAGTACCAGCAAGAGAATGACTACTTCTAATCAACAGAAATTATCAATCTGCATACAAACTTTACCTTTGTTTAGAGTGCTTTTCCTGGTCATCTCATCACAACTGGATCTCCCCCACATTCTCCTTTGTTTTAGTGGATGGTATTTAAGTCACCCCTTAGAAGAGTATCTTATGCATATGAGGCATACATGTAATTAAACAATTATTTTTCTTGTTAATTATCTCTTGTTACAGGGGCCTATCCCAACTAAGAACTTTGAAGAGTAATGAGAAAATTATTCTCCCCCTCCTTCCATGTTCTTCAGAAAAACTCTGAATAATGCAGAAAATCTTTAAAAAATAATTCAACCATAATACCACCTAACCACCTCAGCTGACATCACAATTTCTTTCCAGGAAAATATTTTAAAATAAGGTATTTTATAACTACCTTTCTACCCAATGATGGTTCCCAAAGTCTACTGACAGAATATAGTCTTGGGAATTTATAGCTTAGAAGTGTGTCACTAAAGATCATCAGCTATAACCTTTGGTATCAAAACAGCACATGAAGCAATCAGAGTTGTACATCTAACAAACTTAACAGAGATTTGATTTTTACATCTCTTACCTGGTTATTTTCTTCATCCTCAAATACAAAATCTTGCTGCATAACTTCATTGTCTAAATTAGTGCTAGTCACAGGTTCTGAACAGTCTCTGTTACTTTCACTGGCATTAATAATATCATCAGCAATATCAACCCTAGTAATGAAGATTAAAAATTCAGATCAGGCCAAATGTTGAATATATAATGCCTTTGAAATAAATAAATAGCAATAATGATCTGAAACTTTCATTGTTAAAGAAAATGTGTCCCTTTCATAAAAATTTATACTTTTTTGTTCTTGCTAAATTAAATTATAAAATCTGCTAAGTTTTTGTCTCTCCTTTGGATGTTGTTAGGGACCTTGTTTGTAATCCCCTCTGAAAATTTTCATAAGCTAATGAATGACTTTTAAAATAACTTCCGTGCCAAAATAGTCATTTTCCTTACAAATACACACTCCCACATAATGCCTTCTATGTCTTGATTAAATACAAATCTAGTACTGAACATCATAGTGTCCAACACCTTATCAACTACAACAGGAACAACTTCCTACAGCAGATATTCAATCTTCCACAGAATATGCAAAACATCGCAGTTTGTTTACAAAGATGATACCACTACCAACCAATAGAACATAAGTTATTTCCCCAGTGGTAAAAATAAGAATATTATCCTAGAATTAATAGCACAGATTTTTAGGATCCCTAACTAAGCTAAGGACAAACTCCAAGGAATCTGTTTATATGCTTTGAAATATTTTCGCACTATTTCCAACTTTTACATAATGCTTTTTTCCTTACTATTCTACACAATTACTCCATACGGATCCAGTTTTCTAAGTTCTAATCAGGCCTTCAAAGCACACAAACCAGGACCGTCACATAGAGCAACAGTGGCTGGGGGTATCATTCATTCATAACACATTTATATCTGTACAATATGGTATTCCTAAAAATAAACATTCCAACTACTGGTTTTCCTATCTACTAATATTTTTCAGCTTCATTTTATATTTAACAGCTATTCCAGTTAGTCAGCCTTCTTAAAAATCATCTTTAAAAAAACAATGTGGCTCAGCACCCATACCTCAGCAGTTAGGGCGCTGGCCACATACACTGAGGTGCTGGTGGGTTCAAACCCAGCCCGGGCCTACTAAAAACAATGACAACTACAACAACAAAAAAATAGTCAGGCGTTGTGGCAGTTGCCGATAGTCCCAGCTACTTTGGAGGCTTAGGTAAGAGAATCACTTAAGTCCAAGAGTTTGAGGTTAGTGCGAGCTGTGATGCTATAGCACTCTAACAAGGGTGACATAGTGAAACTCTGTCTCAAAAAAAAAAAAAAAAAAAAAA